CTCTCTCTCTCTCTCACACACACACACACACACACACACACACACACACACACACACACACACACACACACACACACACACACGCGCGCGCGCGCACACACACATACACACACGCACACACACACACACACAAGACCCCCTGCCCACAACCCCGTGCCCTGCGCAAACACGTTCAGTGTGTTTAGGCGCGTTCAACGCATTCAAAACATGAACGTGAAATGCACGTCCATTGAACGCGCGGCAACATAGCCTTAACGACACTCTTTGGGCCTCACACAAAAAAAAAGGATGGTTGCCTGCAAGAAGGCCGCTTGGTCGAAGCGAGAAAAAAAGAGAACTCTCAACGAACTCCTTGGACTGCTTGAGTATTGGAAGGAGCAATTACCTGAGAACATAACAGGGAATCACAATTCCCGCTTTTGCTTAGAACAGCGAGACTACCCCAACGAGAGGGCTGAGCTACATCCCGCAATGTCAAAGCTCTCTCGCTCGATGGCCCATTCCCACCCATCTCAAAGCACTACGTGGGGGTGTCCCTCAATGAAACGCCCCGCGCCCTTGATATGTGCGTGGGTAGGTTTGAGCGACCTGATCCAACTGGGACTTCTCTCGCGTAAGCGGGAGGGTCGACGAGGCTTGGAAGTCTAACAAGGTGGGACCGTACACCATCAACTTGAAGATCACTATGTTCGCTCTAGCATACTCAACCTCAAGGCGGCGCACCGCCTTCTCCATTTGATTCCTACCTTCTCTTTGAGGTGATTGCTCCAAGTGAATCGGTGGTGCCAGTAGCTGAAGCCGTTGTAGGTGTGCTCGATGGAGCACACACATCCACCTTCGCTCTTCTCCTTCAACAACCCTTCCGTTGTCGCCGCCATGACCAGTATCTCCACCCCCAACTCCCTTAGCTTCTTATTCGGTCAGACTTGTCGTGGTGATTGTAGGTTGACCGTAGCGCCGTCCATCACAAATGGAGGTAACCCTTATCAAAACCGGTGTTTCTTTAGGATCCCTCCTAAGGTAAGATGGCCCTGAAGGCTCCTTCTATGTTTACCATATTCCCTGCAGTCACTTACTCACACCCCAGATGGACAGCCAACTCCGTGTGGCAATCACCTGCACACGCGGTCCCAACCAATTGGCCCGCTATCACACCTACTACCCCATTAGTAAGTATCATCAAGTCCCCCGCTTCCCGCGCCAATTCCCCCTTCCCTTTCTAGGTTGTTTACGTCCTCCCTCTCATCTACCCTTGCGTTTTGTCCATAGATCCATAGCCCTCCCCCCATCCTTCTACTCCAGCACCGCCCGTTTTCCCCGTCAATCGACTGGCTTCCAATGGCCAACTTCATTGGCCATCCATTCTTAGTTATCCTGCACTGCGTAGGGCAGTCGTATGCCTCGGTTTCATCCTGCAGCAACCAGTAGAAGCCAGCCGGTCTCCCCTTCATGGCCGCAGGACAGTCACATCCCTCACCCTCGTCTTGCAGCTCCTATTCGTCACCATTGACCAATGGAAGCCAGCCAGTCCTGGCGTTTTTGTCGCTTCGTCAGCTGGTTACATCCACTTCATTGCCCTTCCTTGCGGTCAATCAGCGGCTGGCCTCTCATCAACCAGTTATCAGTTACCATCGGCTCCTGCCGTACCATTCTTACCACTATCAGTCATCGGCAGCCGCGTTACGTGCACCCCGAGAGCCAGTCCGACGGCCTGCCGCCCTTACTGCTTACGGCCACCAGCAGTCAGATCGCTCACACTCCCTAGGAGATCATCAGGAGCCAGTCCTTCGGCCGCCGTGAGCCCGGTGGCCCCAATCACTTCGCCAGTCTTCTCACCAGCCGGGTACCGGTCACCATCTGCCCATCTTCGTTGTGTCAGTCACATCACTGCCCGCACTCCGTCGGAGGTCCTCGACAGTTGCCACGGGTTGGTGGCACCGGGCCGGCGTTGACCGTTGACTGGAAGGCTGTCGTGCTGGCATCATCATTGCTGACCATCAACAATATGACTGTCGCCCACCTTCTCGCCATCAGGGCCCTACGTCACTTCGGCGTCTCTGGTCGAGCGCTGCTGGTTGCTGGCGCTGGCCCATTCCACTAGTCGTCCTCCGCATGCCACCCACACCACAGCCGTTTCATTTGTCCGTTGAGTCACCATCTCCTACCAACCTTCAATATGCTACCAAGTGACGTCCACCTCCTAGCATCTATCCCATTCCTCGTGAAACCGTAATCGTGGGCGGGTACTAGTCGTGCGCCGCAGAGGGATTTTTGGCTTGTGGTCTTTGGTGTCTATCCGGCTTCAAACCTTCAATGAAATGCCGGGTTCTTTGAGCCCTAGGAGTTACAATCTTTGCCTATTACATCCTGACAATGGACATTGGCTCTACGTCTACAGTCTGCACACCTCCATTGGATTGTTTTTTTTTTTTTTTGGAAGAGTCATGGCCTTGAGTTATCATTGTTCAACGGATCAGCCCAAGGGAATTCATAATTTTCATTCATCCCGTTCCATTCCGAGAACACAGCTTTGTATATTTCAACAGTTCATGGGGGTACCAACTGAATACTTGCATTATTTTCATTAGCCATTTTCATCTGGTCCACTGTCATGAGGGGGGGTCCAATAAAGATTCTCATGTTAGGGCATGGCAAATGTTAATATTATCGCACAAAAAAGACAGAGAAGAAAAGCCCAGAGCATCGAGAGGCAAATTTGAACAAACCTTGGATTGCATAGATTCTGCACATGCCTTCCGTTGTGTCCCCAGTTCTTCTTTCAGTTTTGCAATCATCTGTCACATGAGGAAAAAACAAAGTTGCAATGACCCATCCTGTTCAGAGCATGACAAGATTGAGTTTTCAAGGAGTTTTGCTGTATATTACTATATTTAGTATATTCGTACTTTCAGCGTTTGATCTTGTAATTTAGTTTTGAGCAGGAGTGTGGCCATTACTGCGATTTTATATCTTTTTTTTTGGGTAATATGACGTCCAATACTAAGCTCCCATGTGACATTCTGTGTCTCAACCAGGGCCATAAAACTTGCAGACAAGTTCATACTGTGTAGAGATATGGTGGTTAGCTTCACATGGGCTAGGTAGGGATTTTCCAAAAGTTCAATTCAGAATTGAGCGGATAGGCCACTGGTGCATTCACGTGTGGTACAGGACATAATGAGGCAACAACTCGATATGATATACCTGGACCTGGGTACTTGCAGGCCTCATTGTTTTCCAGGGGGCACACTGGTAAGCCTTGTGGAGACCAGTAGCTTAACGAGGATGGCAGGTACCAATCTGGGCAAATGCCAGATATCAGGAAGAGCTAAGCAGCAATCGACACCTCATTCTGTTTTCAATTGCTGCTGTTACGCGGTCTGGGCTTGGCGGGTGCTTACACTGGAGGTGAATAGCACAACGAGGCCACGAGGCTCATGTCTATGGTGGATGACCCTCCTGGCTATGGCGCTAGCAAACTTAGCTATTCATGTGCTTGGGTTGGGAGGTACGGCAGTTCTCAGGCCTTTGAGAGAAATGCCCATGTTTAGGCATGGTGGGCTGCAAGTGACTGATTGAGAGGGGAGAGAGTGGCAGGACAAAGGGAGGGAGTCCTGGGAGAGAGAAACATAGACCTCCAGTTCTTCTTCTTCTTCATTAATGTTCCACGTTCACCGTCTCGGTGATGGTACATCTTGTGCTGTCACACTGACCTGAAGGGTGGAGATGGGAGTCATTCTGTTCAGGTGCTAAATCTAGATGATAGGAACGAGGTGAATGGAATTTTGAGTTGTGGATCTCATGTGTGTAGTACTGCGTACTGTGTACTTGCTGGGAGGGATAACCAGAGAGCATTCTTCTATTGCAAAATGAATAAGGGGGCCAAGAGAAAAGTTGACGAGGAAGGAGGTAACAAGGTGACCATTATTGTTATTTACTTAGCATTGCTGCAAGATGCCAAGAGAAAAGTTGACGAGGAAGGAGGTAACAAGGTGACCATTATTGTTATTTACTTAGCATTGCTGCAAGATTAAGTCTTTCCCCTTCTCCCTCATCAGTTTGGTCATTCTTCTTCAACTTCATGTTGCACTACTCCTGAATTCTATGAATGTGCTTAGATTAAGTCTTTCCTCGCCGCCTTCATCAGTCTGGCCATTCTTCTTCAACTCCATGTTTCACTACTCCTGAAATTTATGAATGTGATTTCTTCCATCATGGCATGACACGGACTGTTGCAATTACAATTGGAGCTACTTCAAACTTAGGGGCAAGGGACCTCTCTGTCCCTTTGGCTAGGTCAGTAGGTTTCATGCCAGAGTGGCACCGCGTAGGTGCTGGGTTCTATTCCCATTGCCGTCACTTTCAGTGGCCTGAGGAGGATTGGTGGCCACAGCCAGTCCACACTGGTAATTCGCTGGGCCGAGCTGTGCGTCCATAACCTGTAGCAGTCCGGGAGCACTGGGCCAAGTGGAAGTGGCTGCTGCTGTGGCCGGTCAGGACACACTCAATACACATCCTAACAGAGCTCTCAGGTTGATTTCTCAGTCAGTCCTACCATAGCGGACATTAATGGCAAGATTATGATGCCTATCAGGGTTGAGACCCTTGATTTCACGATACCTCCAAAGGCTTACAAACTCTCAACATACCTGTCACAACAAAAGCTCAATAAGTTCAAAAAGGGGACCTCTCAAGAACTCATTGGCAGTTCAGGGTGAGCACATCATCGCTTGGTGCTCTGAGAAAACTCAGAGGACAGTGAGATGATGTCAGAATTCACAAGAACAGTAAGATTGAATATGGAGCGCTCAATCAAATTGAGATCCACAAGGGGTAAGACTTGATGCATGCAACTTCTTTGAGGTGGAAACTAGGGTTGGGACGTCCACTTCTCTGCTGCTTCAGTTTCACAGCTCGACCATGCCTCAGTTTCAGTGAAGTCTGTGGGTGGCGCTCGAGCACTGGAGGAGATTAGTGAGTTTGATCAGGGGGTTAGCCTTGATTTCTGTGAGACACACTTAGGGTATTAGATATGAACTTGGACTATTGCTTGTAAATTGTGCTGTTTTTCAGGTAAGTACGCATCTTCTTGAGCTCATATAGTCAAAATTCTGCTGCATATTCTTTTGCACATTTCAGTCTTTGCTTATTCTGGGTAGAAGAGGCTGCTCCTTTCTAGATCCTCCGACAAAATTCCAAGAAGATTGCTTTGCGCTCTTGACTTGTCAGTTGTGCAATCTGTGCTTCTACTAGGATAGATTATACAGTATTTTAAAATAGGGAGGAGAATGAGCAGTGGACGATATAGCGTCATGAAAACTAAACGAAAATGGTGAACGAGTCCAAGCGACTGGAAAAACGAAAACGTATGCACATCACGAAGTGCAGAAACAGAAGGGGAAAGTACCACGAAGCAAGAACTGCTGATTGTACCATACGGATGTTCAGGTGGAAACCCCCTTCAGTCGGGAACAAAGGGGAACTTAGGGTGGGTTCACAGAATGAACGGGGACTGCAACAAGGGTGGGCATTACTGGCATGGTTGGGAAACCACTCTTAGATACAGTAGCTAATAATGTGGAAAGGTCCAACAAGGGTGGGTTCGCAGCGTGAACGGGAACTGCAATACGATGGTCACAAAACATTTTCAAACAGGCGGGGGAACATTCAGCGGCAAGGGTGGTAGTCTGTCCTAAGGAGGAACATATGCTGTGACTGGGTACCTTTATAGAGTCTTCCAACTTGATACTATTTGGAGGGCCAGTTCCTTGCAGCAACTCTCCCCCAACAGTTAGTCTTGTCATGGTTAAGCAACGCTCCGATCTATTCGTGGATAGCAGAACGAGACAAAAAAAAAAAAAAAAAGAGTCGAGCTGCCTCTGCTTACTCCTCATGATATTCATATCTGTTGGCAACAAGGGACCGAAACGGTGCCTCTCAGATTAGAAGAGGTTGAATGACTGTGTTCAAAACATACATGCAAGCAGACTACTTGCGGAAAATTCCGCACGTTTGGCGCACGACTTGCGGAAAATTCCGCACGTTTGGCCCCGTACGGTGCGGCGCACAGGGGGAATATTCACTCAAAAAAAAAAAGGGGTCACATGGCTAGGCCAATGGTCACCTGTGTCCCCTTAAAAGATTTGTTGTGGGATTGAAAGAAAAAAGAACTAGCGGGAGGGTAATGCCGCTACCTAAAGGTCAAGACTGATATCCTAGACACCCTTTTGATGCTATTTCTCATGCCCGATTGGACGGAAAGAAACATTTGTAAGACTGTACTTGAAAAAGATCAGTTCCTTAGGTTTTGCACTCTTCTGTACCTACAAAAGCAGCAAAAGGAAGACAAAAAAAACTTTAAAAAAGCTAGTGTGAGGCTCAAGGCCTCGCCCTACTGGGCCCTGTTTTCAGTACAGTCGGCCGCCCTAAGTGAAGGCAGGCTCGACCCAGGGCCTACAGGCCTATTTTGGGGTGACCGCGCAGCTGGGCAAATTCAGGCAGTTGCGCAGCGCCAGTTGGTTAAGAGCGCCCAGGCCCAGGGTGCCTTTACGCATGTAACTGAGGCAGGCCCTGGGCCAGATACGCAACATGGACCGAACACAGGCCATGGGCAGTTGGACACAGGCAACCACCAGAGGCCCACGGCCTGATACGTTTGGACTGGGGCTCAGCCTGTCTGGGCCTACCGGAAGCTTCTGGGCAGGGGCCCAGCGCAGCCAGGCTTCACGCAGCAGGCAGACAATTTCCATTTAGGAAAGTGCCTGCCCACGCATTCGGCATTCGGGCACTGGCTGCATGCTGCGCAAGCGCTGCTGCGCTAATCGCTGGCCAGGCCCACACGCTCATGGGTGAGCAGGATGAGCAGGCAGCCATAGCCGAGCTGCGCTGCGCTATGCTGGATGGGGCACATGGTGGTCCTTGGGTGCATGTGGCATATGTGAGTGGGGGATCGAGGTTGTGAGTGTGCGAGAGACATACCTGGTGCTTGAGGCGAACGGCATTGGCCGAGATCTGCTCGTACTTCAGGGAGCTATTGACGTCACCAGCGGCATTGTAGATAGGCTAGATAGGATCTGCCATTAGTAGTCTGGGCGCCGAGCGCCAGATAGGATATCAACATTGGTTCATTGTTGATGATGATGGGACTATTCACACATTGTCACTTGTGAGCTTTTGCTGTGCTCTTATTTGGTGGAACTCGTGATGTGATTCTGCTTTTGGTTCGAGGTCACGAATATCTGGTTTCATGTGTATGATGCTGTTTGGTTTCTGGAATTCGCTATTGCTCATTTTCCTTGCAATTTGGTATCAGAGCTGTGGTACATTGCGCTAATCTGGCGCTTGTCTTCTGCCTATGCAGTACATGCATGCGGTCTGCTGGGCGAGCGGTCGTAGGGCGTGTGTAGTGAGGAGGGCGAAGGCAAGCAGGCGACCCAGGAGGTGAGGGGTATCACCAGGAAGGCCACGTGGTGATTATTGGGTGTTCGCAGTGTGATGAGAACTATCTGATGTGTGATTGATGCTGAGGTGGAACGGCGGTGTAATGCTGATTGTGCCGACGCAATGATTGGTCATCACAATCGGCGTCAGGTCATCTGGTGACAATATCTGTGGTTGGGGGCAGCTATTTTGAGGTACGTTGCTCTGAACCTTATCTACCCTCTTCGACACTTCTTACTGTGAGGATGTGTGTTCTGTCTTGAGAGTCCTCTCATGTGAGGAGTCGAGTGCGCTCAACCTTGAGAGTCGGCATTGTTCACGTGGAACATCTGGAAGGAGAGGGCGGTGCTATCTGAAGGGCTCTGGACGAAGCACTGGGTCACGGTCACCATGCCAACCCACCGGGAGTAGAGCACGCATGCTTTGCTGCTTTGTTCTTTGTCTGCCTGCTGCGCTGTAGAGGGGTCATGAGGGGCAGGCCAGCCCTATGGGAAAGACGAGTGCGAGGCACAAGGCCTCAATAAGCCCTACTGGGCCCCTATTTGCAACAGGTCGGCCGCCCTACGTGAAGGCAGGCTCGACAGACGACAAGAGGCCTATTTTGGACTACTTCGCAACTCCGGTAAAATTCAGGCAGTTGCGCAGTGCCAGTTGGTTGAAGGCACCCAGGCCCTGGCCTCCTTTATCAAATGTATCTAAGTCAGAGGCCCTGGGCGAGATACGCAGCATGGACCCAACTCAGGCTGCGGGCAGTTGGGCACGGGTAACTGTCGGTGGCCTTGGGCTTGATTCGTTTGGACTGAGGCTCAGCCTCCCTGGGCCTACCGGAAGCTTCTGGGCAGGGACCCAGCGCAGCCAGGCTGCATGCAAGGCAGGCAAGCCACTTCCATTTAGGAAAGGGCCTGCCCACGTATTGGGCATTCGGGCACTAGCTGTTTTGTGCGCAAGCGCTGCTGCGCTATCGCCTGTCGGGCTCACGCGCTCACGGGTGAGCTGCAAGGAGCAGACAACCATAGCCGAGCTGCGCTATTGTATGCTGGATGGGGCGCATGGTGGACCTTGGGTGCAAGTGGCATCTGTGAGTTGGGGAATGAGGTTGTGAGTGATACGAGAGACATACTTGGTGCTTGACGCGTGCGGCATTGGCCGAGGTCTGCTCGTACTTGGGAAGCTGTTAACGTCATCAGCAGCATTGTAGTCTAGGCTAGATAGGGTCTGCCATTCGTACTCTGGGCGCCGAGCGCCAGATAGGATATCAACATTGGTTCTTCGTGATGAGACTATTCCACATTGTCAATTATGAGCTTGTGGTGTGCTCTTATTTGGTGAAACTCGTGATGCGATTCTGCTTTTGGTTCGAGGTCACGACTATCTGGTCTCATGTGTATGATGTTGTTTGATTGCCGAAGTTCGCTATTGCTCATCTTCCTGGACGAGAACTGGACGTTTATAAATAAATACCGTCGGGGTTACCTTCCATTGGCTGTGGTCGTCGTCCTGTCTGCGACGTTAAATAATTCCCGAGGACTTCGGGGGCCGTCCTTAAACGCCTCTTGATCAGCCAATTGGTCGGTGTAAGGCTCGCTGCACGCGAGGGTAAACATGGTGCAGGGCTGGCCGGCTCAGCATTGACTCGGGGCACAGGGGTGGGCCGTGTGCACACCTTTAGACACGCATGCTATCTGGATTGCTCAGGGATGCTGATGTCAAGCGACAATCAAGAAGAACTGAGGGAGGAGTAGATTTCAGGTGATAAGTTCGGGGAAAATTCCATTCTGCCAACAGCCCAACAAATGATTCTGTTTTTATTTTGATTAGTTAAATGTTACAGCCATTGACATCTGACAGACAGCATAGGTAGAACAGTTTCTCCTCATCTGCTTTCTGTTTGCGGACTAGTCAAGTAAAAATAACTTCGTTTGTAGGAATCTGAACTTACCTGTTGGACCCAAATGTGTAGACTCTGACATAGCCACCGATTAATTATTATATTTATTTTAAATCGGTTTATACACTACGCTGAGGGAGGCATCGAGTGTGACCTAGTGCAAATTGTTTGCAGTGATGTAGCTTATGTGCGACAGGGAGGTTCTTAACCCGGACGATAGGATCTTGCGATCAGCAAGGCGCCCTATAGCCCACGTGGCATTAGGACCCGAGGGTGACAGACTCGTGTTCCACCAGATTAGGGAGAGACAGCAGCAACAACGGAGAGCTAGGGCCGCAGAGGCAAGCAGGGCGTTCGCAAGCGAAGCTGCTACTTCAGCAGCCATGGCCACAGCTGCGCAGCAAAGCTCTCATGCTAGCAGTTCAGGGTCTGTAGGGCCAACGATTGCACAGACCCTGAGTCAGTCCGCTGGTGTCATGGCAAGCCAGCAGTTAGTGTTGACTCCCGAGAAGGTCGCCATACAGCGAGCAGCTGCGCGCAAGGCACAGCTAGAGCAGGCTTTAGGAGAGATCAAGGCAGAGAAAGAAAGGATGATCAGGAGAAATTCAAGGATGCAGCAGCGGCAAGCGGACGTTAGTGAGTGAAAGAAGATGGATCTGACAAACATGGATGTGGATGTGAGGACCCTACGGACAGTCCTGCTAGATGTAGTGGAAATGCAGGACCACCAAACGATTCTCTTGCAAGACATCCAGTGGAGCCTGGCCGTGTTGGTCGGGCGAGTTCAGGTAGCACCATCACCATCAGGGCCTGGTGCCTGGCCTGTGGTACAGCCTTGTCCTTTTGTCCCACCGGTGACTGGAGTATCCCCATATGTAGTCTCTCCAGCATCGGTCCAAGCCGCTTCCCTAGGTATGTCGTTGATAGGAGGGTTCTCAACAGGTCCTAGTGTACAGATTCTTGTACAGTCAGTGTATTCCCAACCTCCATCGCAGGTTTCCGTAACTGGGCAGCCTGTTGTCTCGCAGCCTGCACAGCCGCAGGGCACACAACCCCAATAGCAGCAAGTGCAACAGTCTGTGCCTCAAGGTCCACAACCTGTAGGGCCACAGGTACCAGGACAAGGCCAATGGGTTCCAAAGACCGCCATTGCCACACCTAAACCCTTTTCAGGGGATAAGAGGGCGGACCTTGACACGTGGTTGAGGTCAGGGCCGGTCTACGTTGGAATCTCTTACTGACTTGAACGACCTTGAGCTCAAAGTCAGGATCGCGTCAGTGGCCTTTTGAACCTCCTGCGGATCATGGCATCTTTCTTCCACCAACTTGAGGAAGTCATCCAATCTTTGGTTGACTGCCCAAGCGCGGAAGTCGTGTCCGTATCCTTGAAGTTGTACTAACCCGCTAAGCCACCTTGCTGCACTCCCCTCTAAATAGGAGGCAGCCACAAGCACTTCCTCGTGCGGCAAGGTCAACTTGCACTTAGACGCAGTAGAGCGTCTGATCTGTGTACCTAGAGTATGTTACGACCCCCAGGTCTTACTTACCACGTACCTGAGGTGTCTTCCCATGCCACTCAGGAATCAATTGGCTGGTGAGGCAAATATCAATGTGCACAACTTTCCCTCGTTTAGCAAGAAGGCCCTAGACCTGGAAGCAAAGATAGGGCACGGGCACCAACCCACGATGGACGGAAGGAAGAAAGCACTGCCTCCCAACTGGAAGGCAAAGGGCCGTATCATGTTTGTTGACAACGATGGTTCTACCATTGAGTTGGATGACGACTTCCATGAGGGAGTAGGTGCAGAGGCGGGCAGCGTAGAGGCTTCAGGGGGTGGAGCAATCGCTGCCTCAGTCCAAAAAGGCAACGCGACCGGTAGACGCCGCGGAGGCTCCCGGTCTAGGAGTCAAGTTGAACCCAACGTTCCTCCATGGGAGAAAGCGGGTCTAACTGAGGACGTGTGGAGAGATCGGTACACCTGGCAGGCTTGTATCCGTTGTGGCCAATATGGCCATAATCAGTTCAAGTGCCGGAACAAGAAGGTGACCAAGAAGATCCTGCCTACAATGGGGCAGGCGATGGGATCCTCCGCTTCTGTAGGTAGCAATGTCGCGAGTAGCTCTTACACTGCTCCGGAAAACACATCGGGTCAGTAGGAATAGTAGTTGTTCCTGCTAGGGTCGAGGTGGTGGACACACCTTCACCATCTCGAGAGATGGCCCAAGCTACTGACTCCGTTGTCGTCCCGCAAACACATTCGGACCCAGCGATCCTTTGTTCGTTGAATGTGTTTGAGTCCTTAGAAGAGCAAGAGGAGGAGTGGTCTAGATCGGACCCGCTAGCTTCTTGGACGGCCATGGCCAAACCTCTAAGGGCTATGTAACACCCGCGGCCTAGGCCGCGGGCAATTCGGCCGCCACGGCCGAAAAAGTCGTCGCGGCCAAAGAGGCCCAATCCTCGGCCTGTTTTTTTAATATTTTTTTTATACCCGTAAAAATACGTAAAAAAAAATAAAAAAAACTGCAGGGTTGTAGGAATTGGAAAACCCTACAATCCTATATTTTTTATTTTGGAATCCAACTTCGTTTAAGATTTTAAAAAACTGAAAAACGAAATTCGATTTAAACAAATTAAAAATTAAAAAAGAAAAAGAAAAGCAGAAATTTTTTTTTGTCATTTTTTATCAAGAGGGATATGGTCGCTGAGTTGTCCTGTATTTTTTTGACAAATGCTTTTCTTGTTTTTGTAGGGTTATTGGGAGTTAAAACAAAATTAAGATGCAAAAATTGGTCAGGCTGGTGTGTGTGTGTGTGTGTGTGTGTGTGTGTGTGTGTGTGTGTGTGTGTGTGTGTGTGTGTGTGTGTGTGTGTGTGT